CACAAGAAGAACAAATGCCTCCGTATTTTCGTTCATTTTTGGAGACATTTGATTTACGGTATGCGTCCATGGATTCGCGCTTCACATTCATTGAGTCCCAGCTCTCTACCTTGGGAGCTCGACAACAAGATATGAATGATCGTTTGGATGCACTCTCGCTTGAGATGAGAGCTCGTTACCCTCCTCCTCCTCTCGATCCTTCAATGGATGAATAAACTTATCTTTCATTATTTTTGGGTTGAACTTGCATTGTTAAAACATTTTGGATTTACTTTCTTTGATCGTTGGATGACTGTTTGATATTTTATATATATTTTGGTTTATTACAACATATGTATCATTTATTTTTTTAGTTGTAATATAACCAATTTACCATTTCACATTTTTCTTATGAATATTGATTATGAAACTAATGGCTAACTCTCTTTTGATTGTGATCTTAGCAGCTTAAGCTATATATATATATAGATATTTAATCAATTGGCTATGTTTTTCAAAACCTTGTTCAAATCGATTTTAAGTCTTTTTGATTTAACAAAAAGGGGGAGAAATGTTAAGTGTGTCAAAATTTTTCAAAGGGGGAAGTGTTATAGTAAGGGGGAGTAATTTTTCTAAATTGAAATTGTTTCAAATTTTTAGAAAATCTTAAAATAATACAAATGTTTTGTTATATCAAAAAGGGGGAGATTGTTGAAAACATTTTTGTATTTCGATATAACAAATTAGTTTAAATAAATTTTGAGATTTTACAAATGATTTTCTAAATATATTCGATTCAATTAATCGAATATCAAATTATTACTCCAAGACTTTTAAGATAAATTTCAAACCTTACTAAATGTGTAAAATTGTGTTTTATACTTAATATATTTTTGAAACAATTTTCACAAAGTATTTTGAACCAAAAATCAAGCCTAAAATCAATTTTTCAGAGTGATGCACCGATGCACCAATCCATGCATCGATGCACCATGAATTAAATTGAACATCGAATGCATTTCATGCATCGATGCACATTCCATGCACCGATGCACTGAGGATTTTTTATGAAAACATCGAATGCATTTGATGCATCGATGCACCAGCCAAGTATCGATGCACCAGCCATGCATCGATGCACTCTGGCTATTTTGAAACATCGAATGCACTTGATGCATCGATGCACTCTTAGTGCACCGATGCACTAAGGGTCCAACGGTCAAAATATTTGAATTTTACACTGATGCACCATGGGTATGCATCGATGCACTGACGCTCCCAACTGTTTTAATTAATTGTTTTCACACTTAAACGGCTATATTGACTCCACTAATCATTCCCAACGTTCAGAAGTGATTCAAGGTATATTTAAGCAAGCTTAGAAGCCATTGATCAATAAAAAGAAACATCAAGCAACTAGAATCAAGAGAGAATCAAAGAGAAAGAATCAAACCTCAAGTTTGAGCATTTCAAGTCTATTTTTCATTCAATATTCATTTTGCTTTCAAGAAAACTTATTGTGCTCAATTGTATTCATTCTTGAGTGTTCTTTTCTTTGTTCTAGAATTGTGCAAACAATCTACCTTGTGAGGATTTCCTTGTAAGTTTACAAATTTGTATTATTCTCTTTGGGAGAGAGTGTTCTGAAGAATTTGGGGTATAATTCTTGAAGGATTGTATGGTTACTCTTTGTCCTCAAAAGAAAGACAAATTAGTGAATTTGTGGAAAATCCTTAGTGTGGATAGCTAAGGTAGTGGATGTAGACTTTGGTTAAGAAAGTCGAACCACTCTGAATCGCTGTGCAATTTCTTTCAATTTTTTGTAAAAGCTTCCACCAAAATTTTTATTGCCAATTCACCCCCCTCTTGGCCGATTCCGTCAATCGATTAACTTAACAAATTTGTTAAGCCACTGGTGGAGGAACACCCCGAAATACCGCTGTCCACCGAGTCAATGGAGGAGGAACAATCTGAGATGCCACGGGTTTCACTTCTCAGTCGATGTCGCCTGTCGCGCCATCATCGTCTGATTTCCCTGAGTAGCCTGAGGTAAACTTTTCTCCTTGGAAATTGAACATTTATTGATGTGGCACCCTACTTTTGGTTTTACAGAGGACTTTGAACAAGGACTTCCCATTCCACTAGCTGCTGTAAAAGATTCTTCCTCTTAACAACACGATGCGCCACCACCATCTCCTTCATTTGTAGTAAGCTTTGCAGCTAATTCCGGTGAGCATTCTGGTTACGAGGTTGATGCTAATAATAACGGTTCTTTTGAAAGACACCACCAGGGCCAAAAATTTTTGTCCCAATTGAAGAACTTCTTCATGGATATCTACAATTTGATGACGATGAGTCCTGTAGATTCGACAACATTCGACATCGCATGTTTCAGGTTTACAAATATATTCCCTCTCGTACTCTTGGTACTTTACATTTATGAGACTTTGTCTCCAATTATTTTACTACCATTGGTTGGGAATTGTATCTTGAAATTAGGTGTAGCACCTACTATGAATTGGTGTTTGAATTTTATGCTACGTTTACCTTTTTACAGCATCGTGTCATTTCTATCGACTCTGTTGATGTTATATCATTTCGATTGCTTGGCCAGTACTTTAGAATGTCTGTGAATGATTTCACTTTTTATATGGGATTCATGACAGATATCATGGATCATGGCTATCTGACTGCTTTACTTGGGATACCTCAGGATTTCAACACTGACATAGCTTCTGACACACTCACAGGATCGACGGGAGTTCAATACAATGCACGCACTACAAAAGCATGGCACATTCATGATCCAACTCTCTGCTAAATCCACCGGTTCTTAGAATATAATTATTTCGGACGTAATGATACTATGTCTTCATTGAGTAAGATTGAACTGTTCTTTTTATGGTGTATGCAAATTGGTATTAGGTAAATTTAGGGTTCTAGATTACCCATGCCTTTGAGCATGTTGTGCGCTTCGATCGCCCTCTTATCCTCAGGCCTTATATTACTCACCTTGCATTTTGTTTGTTTCTATTAACATTTGACACAACCCTGTTTACTTATGCTTTTGTGATGGATGCTTTGTATGCTAGGTGTTTGGACACGATGGGCCTCCTTTCTGGCACCCCCGACGCACCTCACATAGTTCCTCCCGGCTCTATCATGCCTCGCAATCAGTGAGTTTTCTTTGGAGGACTACTCCATAACCACCACCAGTCAAACATCTGCAAAGTGAAATCCATGAGGTTCATGGACGCCTCGACTCCCTTGAGGCTAACTTAGCTGAGATCATGTCCTATCTTTGACCGGGTTCGTCTCGTCGTGGACACGACCGCCATTAAACCAGGGGAGTAATTCTATTCTCTTTCCTGTGTTTTTCTATTCATATTGGGACAATATGGTCTAAGTGAGGGGGTAGAATTTGCTATCAAATTTTTCACTTGCTTGTTTAATTGTTTGGAATTAAGTTGTTCTGATATTGAAGTGTTGGAATCTTTAGTTGATTATCTTGAAATTTACTTTATACTCTTGCTTCCTTTGGATTGTGACCATGTTTTGATCGAACTTAATTTGTATGATGGTTATTGGCATAGTTGGTGATTTTATGCTAAGTGCTGATATTTCATGCATTTGTTGATGGAGATGAACTTGACTCAGTACATAAGCCTTTTCTTGTGAGATTCGAGCCTAACGAGCATACATTTTCTTTCTTGCTCATTGTTTGACTTGAGTGTACCGGACTAGTTATGATATTCTAGAACTTGTAATCACAATGCATATCGAGACTACATGTTGGGCATAATGTTTTAATGTGATAGGGATACCTAGGATAAACCCATTTTTCCCAAAAAGTCTACCAATTTATATATCCACTAGTGAACGGCTTTTTGAGCATTTATCCTTTTTCTTTGTTTTACACCACATAATTAAACCCAAGCCTTTATTTTTATCCCTCTTTTCTACCCTTATCAAGATAAGTAGATTAGTTGTTTACATTGATGTATGTTCTTTATTTTATTATTTCATTATTTTACTATTTCTGTCATTTTTATATTTTTCGAAAAATGTGAAAAAAATGTTTATGTTTATGTTTTTATATGTTTATTTTTATTTTATTTTAAGAAGATTAGAAATAATTTGTAAATCTCTTGTCTTGGTATTTAAACTGATCATCATGGCCTTTTCCCTTCCCTAACCTAAGCCCTATTACACCTTGATTTAAAGACACCTTGATTATTTCATTATGATCACTTTTAGTAGTGGAGACTTGATTGGATTCCAAGTCTATGGTAATATTTTGGTTAGTTCCAGTTTGAGCGATTTCATTTTACCCTAAACACTTTGAGCGGATATGTGTGAATCTTTGTGAGGTATTGAGTTATGTTTTATTGATGTAGGCATATAATTGAGATATATTGCTTGCTTAAAATTTTTCTTAGTTGTGTCTTTGCTTAATTGTACCTTGAATTCGGCAATTGTCATAGACTTAGTTCGATTGGAAGTTTGAGGAATAAAGTGAAATTGAAGATGGAACTTGTGATTTTGATTTGTTAATTGAGGAATGCTTGAGGACAAGCATTGAATAAGTGAGGCAGAATTTGATAGGTGATTTATTTAGTTATTATTCATTTTCTGTACAGGGCTCTATATTCTGGAAATTACACTAAAAGGACATAATTCTGCAATTTTTTTATTTTCGGAATCAAGGCTGGATTAGTGGGCATTACTCTGGGCAAGACCTATCTGACGTGGCGATGAGTTAGCACCTTCCAAAAGGTTCAGTCAGCACTTCTAGAAGGACAAATGGGTCTTCCACGTTTTTTAAATTCGAATTCAAGTTAAACTCATGTTTTTAGGATTTTAGTTTAAATATTTTAAGAATTATCTTTAGTAATTATCTTTTCCTCATTTTTATGATTTTGAAGGCTATAAATCCCTCTCAGGGTAAGCCTAAAAACACATTCAGAATTTATTATTCTTTTTTCCTCTGGTTTTATAAAAGTTTTCTTTTCTTTTCCAAAAGTTTTCTTTGTTGTACTTTTTATTTTTAAATTTTTTAAATGCTAAGTATGATTGTCATACTTAGCTAATTTTTCCATAACCAAGGGCAAAAGCGATGACTCAATCTCTATTATGAGGATTGAAAAGCACTAAAATAACTTTGAGTTATTTTCTAAATTTTCTGGAGGAATAAGATTAATAATCGACCTATCTTTTAAAATCAAAACTATTTTTAATCAAAAAGTCGACGTTGGTTCAGATGTTGTTCTGATTTATAGTTGGGAGGAAGAATCGTTTGGTAGCAAGTTCGACTTCCTGTGAACACATTTAGCGGCTGTCTACTAAGGGAAATTGATATCGGGATCGATTCTCATTGAGGCAGCATAGTCCGAGTCGGGTTTTTCCAGATCTATAAAACAGGTTGGTGTTAACGACGATAGTCGTAGTTAGTTTCCATAAAGGATTGATATCCAAAATAGATTTTGGGTTATCGGTTCACAAGAGAGAAAGACAAGTTACAGGGGTTGGGCCATGTAGAATGTAATCGACAAATAACCGAAGCAAAAATTTATTCCAATGATCAACTGGAATTGAGGCAAAAGTTGGAGCGTGAGACTAATTTCACTATAAGTTTTTCTTTATTTCAATCACTTTAAATTTATTTATTTATTTATTTTATCACTATCTTTTAATTGAAACAATTTAAAAACCCCCTTATTTAATCACATCATCCAAATTTCTACCTTATCTCATCCTTATCTAGAATCAGAAAGTTCACTTCATTAGAAATTCTATAGTTCCTGTGGACCGACCCTACTTCTCTTCACTACTTTCTCCCTTCATTTATTTATTTTTGAGAAGTCGGAATTATTTTGACAGTAATACTAACACTTGTCATTTATCCAGTTATCCATCTTGTATGTTGCTAAAACAAACTCCTCAGCTAAATATGCGAGCCCCACTGGTAATAAAACTATTTCCAAAATTTGGGTCTTGCCTCATTCGTTGACTTCAGCAATGTTGTCTTTTTCTGGTCTTTAGAAGGATATCGTTTCCATCTCCAGGTATAATACTCGTATTTTCCCAATTAATTTCCCCTAATTTTAGTTTACAAATCCCTAACCTTTGATTTCCTTCAATCATTTCTTCATTCAAAGTCTTGATCATGGCAATTCTTCCCCCTTCAAACGTTTCTTGTCTCCAATGATCAAAATCCAAAAACTACACCTTTAGCATTGTATAATCCTCCCAGGTGGCGTTTTCCAGTCCTAAACTCGTCCAATACATCAACAGTTGAGTGATGGCCTGATTGTTCCTCTTCACTATACGCTTATCCAAAACAATAATAAGGTAGACCTTCAATTAGCCATCTGACCCCAATTCACGAGGGTCTCATGACGTTACAATTCTGTCTCTTATTTTCTTATTCAGAAGGTTGATGTGAAACATATGTTGAACTCTTGACGTATCGGGTAGTTGTAATTTGTAGGTTACTGATCCCACTTTCTGAATTATTGTGTAAGGGCCATAAAATTGAGCACTCAGCTTCAAGAGCCAATGAGCTCTGTTGGTAGGGTTGTAATTTGAGGTAAACTTTGTTTCTCACTTGGAATCCTCTTTCACTTATTTTTTTTGTCTTCGTAATACTTCATCCTGTTTTAAGTCTTTTGAAACTGCTCCTTTAAAACCCTGTTTAATTATTCTTTGTTGGACAACACTTGCACACTGTTTACTATAGAAGTGCCACCTTTTTTCTCACTTATGGTTGCAACTATCGAAACCATTAATTTAGGCTCCATGGCCCTTATCATGTTATAAGCGATCACTCCCGGACTATAACCTTCATATGTGCCATTAGTTGGAATTGTACCAAACAATTTGATCTCTACATACTCTTTGACTCTAGTGTCTGCTTCCCATATTAATATGATATTCCCCTTCCCTTTAGTTGATCCTTATCCTCAAGGATCAAACATTTTCTACTTTACCAATATTTGCATCTCATTCTTTTTTCTAGGAATATCTAACATTAGACATATAGCCATTTCGATACAAGATGTAGCATTTCCAGTAGCACCACCAAGAATTATGATAACTTCTATCCCATGTTTTGTAGCAGGATAAATATCAAGACTTAACAAGGAGTAATTTCTATCCGACGTAGAGTCTAATTTAGTAGATTTCCAAAACGCCTATTCATTTCTCGGAAGTATATGTGTTACTGTTTCAAACTTCCTATATCCATTGGCTAGCAAAGATAATTCTTCTGGATTCGGTATCCCTGCACTGGTGGGGGAAAAACATTTCAAGCTAAACTTCTCTAGGCAATGCAATCACCAGTATAGGCAAACCACTTTGTGCCAGTTCTACTTGCTGCCATGGATTCAGAAGGTAAACCACTTGGTTCCTTGAGACACTTATTTCCAACATTAATATTCAAAGTTTCAAACAAATTTTCAGGAGCCAAAACTCTTGAACTTGTGAAAAAGGTATTGTACCAAGACAAACTCTTGCCAAGATTATACTTGGACTCAAATCCATCAGTCTTCTTTCCTTCTTCCTGTTGCTTTAGTTCATATTTTGAAGCTTATATCAACCTGAATCCATCAATATCAATCTTTTTTTTTATCCTTTGAAGCCTCTATAACTAGAGTTTTGGATGTAGCATTGCGGCTTATAGACCCCCACGTATGCATGACCTGTAAAAATTCATATTTGTATATAGTAACCCATCCTTTTGTAGCAAACAAAACAAATGTTGGCCTACAGAGTGAACTAATCTCCTTTTTAGTCGCACTCAAACTCCTAGCAAATTTAATCATACTTCATCCCATCAACAAAAGCCGAAACACATAAGGATCAAAGATTTCAACATGTTTATTGACATTTCTAAACATTATTGAATGAATTTCTCTAAACATCGATTGAACTTTAAACTTCAGGTTATTAGAATTACCAGATAGAAATTGAACTTTAAACATCAAAGAGTCTGTATGAATCAACAACGGGTGGCGTAAGAGTAGCAACCTAAACCGATAAGGGCAAACCGTGAGTTTCCAACGAGACCAACTGCGAAGATCCAACCAAAATGACATTTTGATGAAGCCTTGAATCAACTTTCATTGTGCCGATGATGGATGGAATTACAACATCAGCTATTCTTGCTGATATATTATCGAACACTTTAAAAACATCATTTGTGCCTTCTATTGTTGCAGATAACACCGTTTTAGAAGTGAGGAAGATGGGTTAGGATCATCTAGTAAAGGTTGACCCATTCCATTCTCCCTATTAATTTGCTGCTTATGTAACTGAGCAAAGCTTATTGCAGCATCCAACTGAGAAGTTTGCTGCAACGTAGCTTCATCGGGTACTGGATTCACCGCTATTTTTTGAGTCGGGAAAGTCGATAATCTGTCGTATCTCTTGAAGCATACTATTTTGCTCATCAAGAGAAGATGAAATTCGATCAAAAACACCACTGATCCGAGATTGAAAATCTTTCATGTTGGTGGAATCAATTTGGCTCTGATTACCAATTGTCATGGTCTGAGTGTGAAATTGCAGGAAAAAAGAAATAGAAGCATAAAAAAAAGAACAAATAGAGGGGAAAGAATTCGGCCGCACTGTTAATAAAACCATTTCCACAATTTTGATTTTGCATCATTCGTTAACTTCAACAAATGTGGCCTCCCTCTGGTCTTTAGAACGATGTCATTTCCATCTTCATTTATAGTGGCAATGGCCCTTTATAAACTAATACAAAGATATATCACTTCCCAATGTGGGATATATGTTTTTGTCTCCTTTAAGCATTACTAACCGTAATTGATACAATAAAAGTTGCTTTATCGGGCATGTATGTTACAGAACAATGGTACTTTCGATACGAAACAATAGAATAATATTCGTAATGGTGGATTTCGTTGGATGCGTTTATTTTTTTCTTTTTCGTTTGGCTTCTCATTCTATTCAACTTCCTTGGGGGTAAATTTTCTTACATACGACCACATATCTCATCTTGTTATGTCACTCTAAGCCTTTAACGTTTCTTATTTCATGTCCCATTGTTATTGAGGCAAAAGAGAGAACTTTAGGGCCTACAGTCTGTTAGATATGATGCAATATATTATGCAGTTTATCATGTCTCATATGTTGTTTCCTATGTGCGACTTTGCATGTTCTCATAGAAATTTGTTTGGAAGAAACCAAAAGCTTGATATTTCCTTAGAGATTGGCCAAATTGACTCTATATTCCACTTTAAATATACAAAAATGTGTATTGAAGGATACGACAAGGACATCTAGAACAATAGTCATTTACTCAGGGCCGGTCCTTAGGGGGAGCATCCTGAGCATTAGCTCAGACCCTTAATTTTTATATTTATATTTGAGTCCCTTCAATTTCAATATTTATAATCAGGGTCCTTAATTTTTCTCAATTTCATAAATTTATTAAATTTTAACTTTATTCTTCTATCTTTCTTATTAATTCATTCAAAATTTTGAATTAAAATTTAATCATATTTTCTCTCTTTTCAAATCTCATTCTTCAATTCATCAAATATTTTTTAACTTTTAGTCTTCTCCAATCTCAATCTATCGATAAAATAATACATCGTTCTTTATTTTATTTATTATTCAAAATCAAGCTCCATATCATAATCACATTCAATTTTTTATATTTATTCTCTCTTAGTTGTATTAAGGTGTTTTCTTAATAAAATAATAAAAATAACGTGTTTGAAAAAATTGAATCAATTTTCCATGATTTCTATGATTTATTAATGTTATATTAAATTAATTGTTCAAAGTAATGTAATATACTTTAATTCTATAGGAATCTATTTTTGAATTTTTGTTCAGAACCCCGAAAATATTTGAGACGACCTGGATTTACTCCACCAAAGAATATTTTAAAAATTAGAAAAATCCTATCAAATAAGAAGATAAACATTTGTTTTAAAATATATTTTTATTAAAATTAGGTTAAAGGGCCAGTCAAAGTATGAGCAACATGACCAAAGGGCACCAACTTAGCTTCCCTAACTGTCACATCAGATTATTGTGACCCAAGTAATTAACAACGAGTGATCGATTTGTTACAAAATATAATATTATTAACTTTTTTGTTATTTTTTAAACTTTAGTGCTGAAAACATAAAATCACTCATACTTTAGGGACCATTTATATAGTTTACCCAAAACAATATCAAACCTAGTTAACCAACTGTAAAAAATATAGGGTAAATTGCATGTTTAGTACATAAATTTATCTCTTTTGTTTCATTTTAGTACATAAACACTATTTTTAAAATCATACCTAACGTTTAATTTATGTTTCAATTTAGTAATCGTTATTAAAAACTTAGCATCAACGATGACATGGAATTATTTTCCCTTTTTTCAATAATCCACGTGTCTAGTAATGAAAATTCCACATCATCAGTGTCATTAAGTTTTTAACGATGGGAACCAAATTAAAACCTAAAGTAAACATGAGGTACGGTTTTGAAAAAAACGTTTAGGTATTAAAACGAAACAAAAGTGATACATTAGGTACTAAAAGTGTAGTTTACCGAAAAATTATATACAGCTCGTGGTAAAAAAAATGAAGCTTGGTGTTGGTAGTGAATGCGATGAAGCTTTAGAAAGAACAAGTCCCATGATCATCTAATCTAACACGTCACTCACTCCTCATGGCTTCTGGATTTACGATGAAACCTTACTTCACCGATCATTATTTATCTCCACTTCCATCAACTATAGTTTCAGTTTTACAGCCCACATATTAACCCTGCCACCTTTATTTCTTCATTATAGTAACACCATCAACCCACATAACCATCCCGGCAATGGCTGACAAGGTTAAGGAGAGGCATGATGAAGAATTCCTCCTGGAAAGTGATGACAATGAGGACAACCTTGAAGAGGGCAAGGCCGGGGACGACGACAGCAGCAGCAGCAGAAGCAACTACAATAGCGATGATGATGATGGCAACGGCGGCCAAACTAAATGTCTTGTATGATTATGGGAAAAATATTAAAGTTTAGGTACTAAAATGGAACAAAACTAATAGTTTTATACTAAACTCGTAGTTTACCCTTTAAAAATCATACTTAAGGACGTTTGTTTCACTAAAACCATATTCTGGAAAATGATTTTCATAAAATGAATTTTATTTGTTATAAATACATAATATAATAAATAATATTCATAATTATAAAAACATTAGTATTATTATTTTTAAATATGAGAATAATTTATTCAATATTATTTATGTTATTATTATTAAAATATTAATTATACAATTTTATAAATAAAATATTAAAACTAGATCATTTTATTAAAATAAAAAATATTATTTATTATACTAATTATTTATTAAGACAAAAATATTATATTTTATTATCAAAATAATAAATTTTATCAATTATATTAATTAATATTAAAATAATAATATTATTATAATATTATAAATTAAAATATTAAAATAAAAATATTATATTATATTTTAAAAATTATAAATAAATAAATAAATTCTAAATATTTAATTATTTAGTAGTATTATTTTTATGAAATTAATAAATAATATTAGGGTAAACTATGTGTTTAGCACTTAAACTATCAGTTTTCGTCTATTTTAATACCTAAACTTTCTTTTTTTTTCAAAATCATAGCTAACATTTAGTTTTTGTTTCATTTTAATACCCGTCGTTAAAAACTTAATGACAAAATTGACGAAACATTTTCTAATTATTTTAAATTTTTAAATTATTATTTATATTATTATTTAATTAATTCTATTCAAATAATAAGGTGATGACAACCTTCTTAAAAACAAACTAAGGAAAATCTCCCAAGGGATATAACCTACCAGGAATTAAATTTGGGCCTCTTTGAGGGAAAGAGAGACGCTCAACCATCTAAGTTAGGGCAGATCATTGATCCTAATTTGCCAAAGAATATATTTAACTTATATTAAACTACCACTATAAAATAAAATAAATTTGTTAGATCTATGATTTAAACCTGGGACATCTCACAAATATTCAAGCATTTAATCACTAAAAAAGATTAAGAGTTAATTTAATACATACCAAAATTATTATTTAACTTATAAAAAATATTAAATTAAAATTAAATAATTTCTCATTTCAATCTAAAATAAAAAATAATTATTTATATATTTTATAAAACCAATATTAGTTTAAAAGATTATATGTATATATCATATGTAGTTTAAAATTATATGTATTTAATTATTTAAAATTTAAATTAAAAATTTTCAAAATACAATTTAAATTATTTAAATTTATTTAACTATTTAAATTTAAATATAAACATATAATTTATAAATATTTATGAAAGTAAATAAAAACATTATTTAAAATCATTTAAATAATTTTTAGCATAGAATATTAATTTTAATTTAATATTATTCATTAATTATTTAAATTAATAAATAAATATAAATAATACTTTTAAATAGTTATTTAATTATTTTCTTATTCCTAAATAAAATGAAAATTAATTTTATATTTTTATAAGTTAAATAATAGTTTTAGTAATGTCCTAAGTTCGAATCATAGATATAACAAATGCCTTTCATTTTATAGTGGTATTTTAATATAAGTTAAATATATACTTTGACACGTGTAACAACTTTATTAGTTGAATAAAATTAATTAAATCTTAATTTAAAAATAAAAAATTTAAAAATATCACATCAGCTCTGTAGTTATGTTTTAACGGTGTGGTACTAAAATGAAACAAAATCTAAATGTTAGGTATGATTTTGAAATAAAAGAAAGTTTAAGTACTAAAACGGACCAAAATTGATAGTTTAGATTCTAAATGCGTAGTTTATCAATAATATTGATTTTATCAATAATTTATTATATCATATAATATTATATATTATTAAAATAAAAATATAATATAATATAATATTATAATATAACTAAGCATATAAATACTAAAAAAATATTATATTATATTATTAAAATTATGGGTAAACTATACAAATAGTCCCCTTTATTTTCGGTCTGACCAACTTTGGTCATCAATTTAAAAATTAAGGGTATGTGGTCTCTAACGTTATCGATACGTTCAATTTCAGTCCGTCCATTATCAAATTCTTACGTGACACTTAAAAAATAATAAAATAATAAATAAACCATATGTGATCTTCTTCTTCTTCTCGTTAAACCACCCACACAACTATTTCAATTCTCATCAAGACAAAACCATGCAAAAACAAAGACTTCTGTTAGCTTTTAGAGTTCTAACTCTGAATTAATATAATAATCAACAAGAATACTGTTTAAAGGTATGAAGAGGTTTTGGGAATGTCATGTTCTCCTACCATCACGTGTTTACTCATGAAATATTGAAAGATTGTAACTGTGTTTAAAGATCTGACAGGACTTAACTTTACATATAATCAAACTCCATATTGCTACGTGAAGAAATATTATGAAGTATAAATATGTAGCTGGCATGGTAGGCGTGTAGTTTTTATTCTGTTAGCTGAGCACAAGCTAACTAAAAGTTAAAGGCCCTGGAAGAAGATAAATGCATTAAAACGCTACTGTCCCCCACCTTTTCCCGTTTCGTTTAATAATAAAAATATTGTAGTAATGGGGAGAGGGAAAGTGGAGTTTAAAAGGATCGAGAACAAGATAAACCGACAAATAACGTTTGCAAAGAGGAGGAATGGGTTGCTGAAAAAGGCTTACGAGCTCTCGATTCTTTGCGAAGCCGAGGTTGCTCTCATCATCTTCTCCAATCGTGGCAAGCTCTATGAGTTTTGCAGCACTTTCATTACATGTTTTGGAGGGAGGATGATTTTAATGGGTTTGTTTTTGTATGGTTTATCTTAATGAGAATTAAAATGAAGTGAGTGGTTTAAGAAGAAGAAGAAGAAGAAGAAGAAGAAGAAGAAGAAGAAGAAGAAGAAGAAGAAGAAGAAGAAGAAGAAGAAGAAGAAGAAGAAGAAGAAGAAGAAGAAGAAGAAGAAGAAGAAGAAGAGAGAGAGGAGAGAGAGAGAGAGAGGAGAGAGAGAGAGAGAGAGGAGAGAGAGAGAGGAGAGAGAAGAAGAAGAGAGAAGAGAAGAAGAAGAAGACCAAAATCACAGACTCATTTATTTACGTTATTTTTTTTAAATCTTTAATTTTCAACTCAAACTTCCATTAATAGGTTAACGGCAATTATCGTCCGAGGGACTAAAACTGAACATATTAAAAACGTAAGAGATCAAAATTAATCTTTCGAATCAATGACCACAATCGGATGGACCGAAAAGATAAGGGAACACCCGTATAATTTACTTTATATTTTGGTACCAACAATCAAATGATCTAGTGAAATGAGTCGGTAGATCTCTTAAACAAGGTTAGAGATTTGAATATTGACATTGTAAATGGAGCAAATTAGATTGGAATGGATCGCCTCCATAATGGGTGTTTTTAGTATGAGATATAAATTAGTCAATCAATGGATCATGTAATACCCAAACTTTTATCTAGTGACTATAAGTTAAGTTTTGAAAGTTTGGTGGCTAAAGTGTAAACATTGAAAAGTTCACGGACCAAAAATGTAATTTTGAAAAATTATATATTTTATTTAGTTCGTAAATGAACAACTTGGTCTAAAACAAGGATTTTCTTGGGAATCAGATTTTCGTACAGTACTTGTGTTAAAAGCTATAAAGTGAAAAAAGTTTCATTAAGTGAAAAAAATTACATGGCCAATGTAGAAGGTCAAAGTCAAATTAGTTCATCTTTGACTTAGGAATATTTTAATGGAATATATTGTAATGGAAATTGGTAAATATCAAGTTTCATTAATGGTATTTTGGTGATTTTTCATTAATTGAATTTTAAATTCAATTTAATTGGTTTAAATGCCATGTGTATCATGAAAATTGCTAGAAAAATCAAGAATTCTTCTTCTCCATCAGCTTGTTGCCGTGAACCATCCAAGGTGAGAAAAAATTTCTTTTCAATTTTTGAGCTATTTTAGAAGGATTTTGGACTAATTGGAAAATGTTCTACATTCAATTCTCTATCTTTTGGTACAAAAAATTCTTGCTCGATATTCTTGGATGTTGAGATTTGATGACTAGGGTTTATGAAGGGTTTATGGATTTTATGGATTTAATGAAAGATTTGTATGTTAGTGGTATTGGAGATTAATTTTAAAGTTTGTGTAATGACCAAAATGATGTGTTGGTGCCTATATAGCAATTGGCCATGGCTAAGGTTTTAAGATATGATTGGATTTGGATTAAATTTAATGTTGTGATGATTAGAATAGCATGAATTTGTTGTACGGAGGTTGAATTCATGCTTGAAATTGAACAAAAGGTCTCCCTAAAGTGACATGGGGTATTCGACCATAAGGAAAATATTAAGGAAAAAGGTTGAAAATTTTCCTACTGTTTAAAAATATTATTAGAAGTACTCTATGTGAATTGGAGATTGATTTGGATCAATTTGGAACCTTAAAAGTGAAAAAGTGCTAGTTTACAAGTTTTAAGGATTGTGAGACATTATTGTATAAATGTGAGATTTGGAGTATTCAATGATAATATTTAGTATTAAGATGCTGGAAAATTAAGTTGCAAAGTTGGTTGGAACCAAATTGCAAGTTTGGTAAAATTTAGGAGTAAAATTTGAAAAGTCCAAGAAATATAGGGACTTGATTTCAAGTTTTTAAATGTGAAAATACCATTTGGGTAAAACAGTACATTGTGGAAATTTTATTTATGTGCTGATTTTTGAGTTTAAATGTTGAGTTGGGATCACATTTCATGTTTATCAAGTTGGGTGGTTGAAATTGAAAAATTTTAGAAAGTTAAGGACGAAATTGCAAGTTTTTAAATGTTCAAGTGTTGATTTGAATTTTTATTATGGTGCTGGAAATTTTATGTTATTAATGTGACATGACCATAATAGTAAAAGACTATTATGAATTTAATGGGAAGTTAAGGTGAATTCTAGAAAGAACTCATAATTAGTGGTTTGATTATGCAATTAGCAAAAGTTGAAGGATTGATAATGGAAATATATATTTTTGGAATTTAAAGAAATATTTTGAGAAGTTTGAAATTTTGATGGCGGTACGATTTAGTTTCATATCGATTTTATTTCTATCGAATTTTATATTTACGCTTAGATTATGTTATTTTAATATTAACATATACCTTGAACATTTTATGTTATTATATGATGTCGTCAGACCTCAATAAATCTAGTGATCAAGTAACTCAAAAAGAAGGAAAAAGTGCGGAAATTGAGAAGATTATTGAGGAGGATATTCGACAGGAAGGCAAATATGAGTGCATTTAATTCGTGTTTGTGTTATCGTACAAACATTGGCTTGCGATGAGCCAGTGACGGAGTTACTACGGTAAGAAGTGACTCCTAATGTTATGTGAATTGTGATTCTAGCCTAAAGGTTCATTTATTAAGCTTACGGAATTATGAAATTAAGCTAAGGATGTAATTAAGGAAAGCTGTCTAGAAATTAAGATTTGTGTTGGGATTTTCGGAAGCTCGATTCGACAACCGGAATGATTTGTAAAGAGGGGTCGAAACGGTTTTTGAGTTTAGGGAGTAAGGAGATTGAAAGATAGAAAATTGCACAGCGATTTAGAGTGGTTTGACTTTTTAAACCAAAGTCTACGTCCACTACCTTAGCTCCTCACCAAGGATTTTCCAACAAATTCACTAATTTGTTCTTTCTTTTGAGGACAAAGAGATAACGTTACAACTCTCTAGTTTTTCCGGGCTAAACTAGAACTTTTCCCTAGCTTTTACACGGGATAAGCTAGAACCTTTCCCCTTTACAAAAGGATAAAATAAGTAAACAAGAAAACCTCTCTAAGGTAGGTGTTTACAAGATTGAGCTCACAAGAACAAAATATTTACAAGAGAAAGATGAAATAAAAATGAAAAATTCTTCTCTTGTGTTTGATTGCTTGGATAGTTGTTCTATTTCTTCTTCAAGTGTCCTTAGCTTGTATTTATAGCTTGAAATGTGTTTGATGTTGTATATAGCCATTGGGGATGTTTTGGAGCTGTTTGGGGATGATTTTTCTACTCAAAAAGGTTGCCCATAACATGGTGCATCGGTGCACTATCATGGTGCATCGATACCCCTTCATTAAATTCAAATAAACTAGCCGTTGCAGCCTTCGTGCATCGATGCATAACAGGATGCATCGATGCAAAACCTTGATGCATCGATGCATAGAAGGATGCATCGATGCACTAATTGTATTTGGTGTTTGAGTGCATGGATGCACATATCGATGCACTAGTGCATGCATGGATGCACTGCAGGTGCATGGATGCACTGCAGGGGTGCATGGATGCACTTTGACACCCTTTAGCATTTTGGCTCAAATCCGATTTTAATGGACTTTGAATTATTTTTGAAACCTTTTAAAACTTTGAATAAATTCAATTAATTCCAAAAACATTTTGTAAATTCAATTCAAGTCCAAATACCATTTTGCCTTAAATTGTTATATCAAAACATAATTCAACAATCTCCCCTTTTGATATAACAAAACATTTGAAAAAGATATCAATTGTTAACAATTGTTAGAAAATATATGAAAATGTTAAGCTCCCCCTTTTTCATTTAGAAATTGAATTTTTCAAGCCAAACTTCTCCTCCTTTTTGTTATATCAAAAATAATTCGATCTTTGAAGTTCAAAATAACTTTAGAGAGTAAGTGGTAAATTTGACTTTTAAAAATCATTTGAAAAATCAAAGCTCCCCCTCAATAAATGCATTCCAATCAAAATTTAGCTTTAAGAACTTGACACTTAAAAAGAAATTGAATTTCTACAAAGAATAACAAATATGTTAGTAGCACATGAAATTCAATATATCCAAGACTAAAATACTTTATGCAATACCAATTGTTGAATTTTGATATCAATACCATTTGTTAAAATTAAGTGCATATGCATAAAGTTTTTCAAAATGTTATGCATTTTGAAATTTTGATATCAATTGTTAGAGAGATATCATTTTCATTTAAACCACATGCATAAACATTCAAATTTAGGTCAAAAATTTAAAATTTGTAAAATCAAAGTTTTTTTTAAAAAATTATATCAATTATTAGAGATATATCATTTCATTAAAACCAATTTTGACCAAAATTTTATTATGATGAACTAAAAATTTAAAAATTATTAAAACTTTAAAATTGTTCATCATACCAATTGTTTTCAACATACATGAGATTAAAACAAAACATAATCATTTAATATCACAACTCATGCATGCTTAAAATCAAATGAGCAACCAAATAACCAAAATTAATTCATTAAGCTTAGAGGTTACCCATTCCTTTTTCATGTGTGGCTAGAGCATCTTGAATATCATCACTTTCATCACCATTGCTCTCACACACCTACAAGAGACATTTATTTCGATTTTGGTATCCAAATTGATTTGGATCCTTCAACGTTAGTTTCAATGCCTCTTGTTCCTTTCGGAATCCATACTTGTCTAATTTTAAAATGTTTCCTTTCTTCAAAGGACAAGTATGTTCCTTGTGACCATGATAATGACAATTTGAGCATATTGTCATTATTGAACTAAATGAATTATTTAAATGATTTCTTTTTCTTTTGTTAAGCATTCAAGCTTAACTTTTAAATCAAAATTTTCTTTTTCTAAACTTTTAATTTTTATTTTTCAAAGCTCTAAATCCTTTTTCAAAATTTCATTTTGGCT